ATGTGAAGAACTTGCATTGTTGATCACCTTATGCAACCCTAAACTCTGGAGTCTAACATCTTCAACCCATGACCCAGAATGCAAAAGCTTTTCCTGAGCTTGGGACCATCCTCAGGCCCTTTGCCCTCGACGTCTCAAGTTGCGAGATCAAGGTACCTGGATATCTTCTGAAAGCTTTCTACATTTCTCGCCGCTGGAGCCGCTAGGGCCACTTTCATTCTTGATCCAGAGGTTTTATATGTTTGCAGAAGACGCGAATGGGCTTTTGGACGGTAAGGCGAAGCGAAAAACAGTTACCTACAATTCCGTTTGAAAGATCTTACTGTTGTTGTCAGGAAATATGGCCCAGCAATATCAGCTTGAATATTCAAAGCAGGGGGCTGTCCGATGTCTAGTCTATGATAGCCATACAGGGTGCACGTGGGTCATAAAAAGCTACTCTTCCTGAGGTGCTTGAAGATCATAACTGGAATAGGGTTCCTGATCTTGATGTAAGTAAGTTGAGTTAGACCCACAGCCACTCCAAATGACCAGCAGGGATAATGGGACTCATATTACAGCCCCAGTACAAAGCTGTGATTGACTTCTGGACTGCGATTAGGAGCACTAGTCGGGTAACCAACAAGAGCTTGATGACAATACCAATAATTCTACTACTACTATAATACAAATGATATAAATGATCATAACGATTAGTCATAATAACAATGGTAAGAATGATAATGCTGACCAGGCTACTCACTGAGGTGTTGGTATTTCCATCAGCTGTAACGGTAACTGAGCATATAAGGGTTTCCAAAAAAGGTGCCCCTTATTGGGAGGGGGGTCCCCTCCCTATATCGAATTTTGGGTCTAGATCGGGGTGCCCATATTTTCGGAAACCACCATATGTATCTGTGGCACACAGTTGAAACTATTCGCCGCTCGATCCGTCATTCAGCTGATCCCTAAGGGTCCAAGGACTCAAATAGTAGGGCTTTAGGGCCCAAATACCATTAATATTATAGTATTTGGGCCCTTAAACCCTATTATTTGTGTCCTTGGACCCTTAAGGAATAGTTTGCAAGGAATCCGAAGCTATGAGGTGAAACAAAGTTTGAGTAGCATTTTGTTTGGTGGTTGAACCCAGTATAATCCTTGTATAAAATACTATACCCAAAAAAGAGGATATAATCCTACTCTATTTTGGGTACTATAGTATCCCCAAATAAAATCCTACTAGTTTGGTCAGAAAGCGCAATTCGCCGTTTAGGTTTAGGATTTGCAGTGTTTTTGGCAACATAGGGGTAGGGTCTGTAATTTGGATGAGTGCCCTGAGAAAGAAATCGAGGAACTCAAGTCTGGCCCTGGATAAAACCCCCTTACAGCCTCACATATCGGTCCCAAATCTCTGCAACCAAGCCTATGAGGGATTATGAGGAGAATCGCATTTGGAAATAAAGGCCCGCGGACCAAAGAGCCTGACGTGCTGCCCTCTACCCCACAAACCCTAAGCCGTGCAGAGATTGAGATTTAGGGAAAACAAAATCCCTAAACCCTAGAAACCCTAAATCACAAACCCTAATTAATCTTAATCCCTAAAAAACCTAGAAACCCTAAACCCTAGACACCTTACACCCTAGCAGCAGAACAACCTGGCGGTCCACCCCTAGGGCTTACATTTCAAGGCATGGCTTTCAGGTGTTGAAGCTGGGCTCGAGCAGCCTTTGCCTCTGAAGTAAACATTCAAGTGGATCAGGGTTTAGGGACATCATGTAGTGTCTAGGGATACTACATGGGGTGTGATGTGTATATATATATATAATTACATGAGAATGATGAGGGCTAGGGATACACTATGCGCTTGTATTTTATTATCGAGTTTAAGGATACTACATGGGGCTATATGTAGGGTTTAATGATACTACATGGTTATATACATATATATGTAATAGGATTAAGGGATACCATGTGGGATTTAGAAGGGAACATCTAGTAAGAACACTGAGTCAAGCTGAGAACAGCACTGAGGGTATGGATTCGCAAGTCGTCGTGGCTCCTGAGTTCACCTGGCCAGCCAAAACCATGAGCTACGTATAAAAACGAGGTTTTCAGCTGGGTAATTACCAGGGGGTACCCTTACATAAGGCTTATGAATTGCTTATATAAACTAGAGGGTATATAAGGATAATGTAAGGCTTGTATTGGGGAAACTACCCCACCTGAGATTTTTTTAGATTGGCGAGCAGCGAATGATAAGGCCATCGGCTTTGCCATAAGGGTTCCTCTACAGAATATACGGGGATAGTTATGAGTCCATGTTCCTTCCCTGCCTACTTGCATAAAGGCAAATGTCCCATGGGCCAATTAGGTGGGCATGATTCACCAAAAAATGACGCAACATACTTGGAAGTAGCACCCAACATGCAACAGTAAGCATGCTATCTAAGATGCTGGCTTGGAGGGTTTCGCCCCATGTGCGGACTTCAGTTCAAGCAATCATGTGTGGTTGTTTGGTGCAGAAAGGAATGGAAGAAGCAGGAGCCATAAAGAGATGCTTGCCGCTACCAGGCTGAGGGTGATGAGCAGTTTGAGAGTCATGCAAGCAAGACACCTACCACAACTTACGAAATGGTGATCGGGACCCGAAAGGAGTAGCTTTTCCGGTGTTTGCTGACCGCTTTGAGCGACACCACATGAAACTGGCTGGCGGGAAGTACAGAGTGGAAACACAGACATGGCCTCTAAAAAAAAGCACCCATAATTTGCAGGTTTCCATAGAGCAGTCCAGGTCGGGGAAATACTTCGGCTCCTGCCAAGTCCCGAACCTTAAAACGGAGCTTTTCCTACGCTTCCTGTGCAATCTTGGCATGTCACGCAAACTCCCGCTACGGTACCCCTACCCTAGGAAGGGTACATTAAGTTTGACATCCTCCCAGAGCGCAGAGCCTTTCCAGAGGTCCGTGCAGGCTCGATCCAGTCTTTGGTCTTTGGTAATTCTTTGCAGAGCATAGGGGGGTCGGAGCCTTGCGTGATCTAACTTTTGAGCAAAATATACTGTGAGCTTGACGCCCCGTAGACGACTAGAACCTGGAAGCAAGGCTCTTTCCATACATCCGGAACAAATAGCTTTTGTTCAGCCAGGACTTGCGAACTCTCATCGCATGGGGAGTCGAAGTACTGTTCTTCTTGGTTGCGAAATAGGGTGGAAGGCCTGCTTTGCAGAAAGGTGGACAAGGGTACTGTCATGCTGCAGGACCATTCCAAGGACATGTTCATTGTTGAGCAGCGAAGGGCGACTACGGTCACGATGTTCATGAGTGTGATGGAAAACACTTATGCTTGAAGTCATCAAGCCAGAAGATGGCACTCAATATCTAAATGGCGCTCTACCGATCGAAATGGACTTGAATTCATAACCTCTTTGGTGATAAGGCTGCCAGAAGAGCGACCCCCCATGAATGCAGAATCCGTAGAAGCGCCATGGTGGCCAGGCCTGTACAATATGCGGAGCCATACAGCTCGCAAGCTCTGCACTTAAGAGGTTGAATACACCTGGACATTTAAAGCCATGAGCTCAGGATCACAATTTATAACCTTGGAGGCCCATATCTTTCGCGGGTGTCATTTGCAGTACTGCGTTTAGGGGCAGGCGTTTCTCATAACTACGGCTGCTGCCAGCGTGCATTCCGCAAAAATTCTTGGGAAAGGCTTCAGGAATCTGTGCTTCTTGATATTCCTCTTCAGACCCTGGAATGACGTGGCTACATATGAGTCCGTGAAGGCAAACCTTGAAACATCCACAAAGCTCTACGCAGCGAAAACCTCAACTAGCTTGAGACTTAAGGCTTATCTGTGGCAGGGCTGTGCAAGCTTGTGTTTGCTGCCGTACCCAGAGCATCACCAGCGCAACAAAATCTTAAGGCATGGCCTGCAGGCCAAAGGAGCCATATGAGCAGCCGAATCCATTTGGGTGAGTGCAACGAAGTGGATGAGTGTTATCCTTTTGCACACAACTAGTCAGTAGTCCCTGTGTGATTCACAACGCTTATCCCTGAAACTCAAGGCATCCCTGTATCTACTCATGAACCAGGAGAACTAGAAATAAAGCGGCACTCCCAGAATTTTACCTTGCACCGTACAGTTTGAACAGTGATTCGGTACCAAAACCGGAACCCGTCTGCCTCGCCAGTACCCACCGGCTGCTTAATGCCGACCACCAGGCCCAAAGCATTAGCATGGATAGACGGCCTAGAGCCCGAGCCCCGAACTGAGAAATCCTGCATAATTCGGCAAACTCAGTCTTCAAGTGCTTAGTTGAGGTGTGGTCAGGTAGTCCCTTGTGGCAACATATACGAAACCCCAGAAAAGAGTGAAAGAACCGTTCCCATCAGACTCCGACAGCAGTCCTAACCTGCTTGCTGGCTCCCTGCAGTCACTGCTGATGGCACTGGACACCACCAGGGCCTCCAGGGCCTCTATGGGGTCCATCCTCCTGTCCAATGGGCTTCAAAGCTAATATTGGGATAATGGAAAATCAAATGGAAACTACTATAATGGAGAATCAAATGGAAAAGAAAATGGAAAATGAAATGGAAACTGGGATTACATTGGGGTTGTATATTGGGGTAAGCTACCGGGTTACTTGCTTGAAGGGTCCCAAGAAGGAGGTTTCGAGACTTGTGACATGACAAGTGGGCTGGGCAGCTTGGGCTTCAGGATTGCTCAGGGCTCACGATCTCAGGGGTTCGGCCGTGCGTCCTAAATCTCCATGAATCCAGTTCTGTATAGAAACAATCTCCGGATGTTTAGAAATATCACCTGGGCACTAACATCCTGACAGCCCGTGACCTGTCTTCGTATACAAAGAAAATGTCAAGGGCTTCCGAGAATAGGGCACTTGTGGGTCCCTGTAATGAAGGTGATCATAATACACTTTGGTGTCTAAATTAGGGTCCCCACATTTATGGAAACAGCTATGGAAATTACCATCTAGAATGAGAACGTGCAGGAAGCAAACATTAACTTATGTACTTCAGCCACTCGGTGTTGCGTAAATGCTGCGCTTTGTGTCCATGGGGCTCCTCCTCGTCATAGGCCTCGCCGCCCCCTTGCATGTTCACCTGGCTTGATGTCAATGTATGCCAGCATAAGGCTATCCGCATCATGGCAGCCAAGTAAAAGGTTACTTGTTGCGCTTATAGACCATTGGTACGATTGGCACAGCTGTGGCTCCAACATGGCAGGGCTTGCAAAGGGCCTTAGTAATCCACTATTTCTGCACATGTCCCACCTTGTTGGAGTTGAAAGACTGCACGGGGTCAATGTCGGTAATGGTGTGAACTTCCACGTCCGGCGAGTCCTTTGGGCTGAACCAGCTTACAAGTAGCCACGCAACATCAAAAAAGGCGTGGCATGGTGATGGTGTGGGTGGCAGCAGTCGCAGTAGCAACTGCAGTAGATGACTAGTCACTAGTCATTAGTCGTTATCCGGTGATGGTCAGTCCTCGGAGGATTTTGGACTGTGCAGAGGAGGTGGGAGCAGCTTTGCCACAGCTGCTTGGTTCTGTGGAGGCAGCGAGTCCGGAAACTCAATATTGAGGATCAGGAATAGGTTGCCATGCACGAAAGGATTCTTGTAGGTGGGCATGCCCTCGTCCTTCACAGCTTTCATCATGCGGAAGGGCTTCGACGCACCTGGATCCGGAAGAACGTACATACTGCAGCCTCGACGGGTCTTCTTGGCTGCCAGCGCTTCATCACGGGTGCACTGTTTGATGAAGGCTTGCTCACCGTCCACGACAAAGCATCCCACGTCGATGCCTTTGCGTTTGAGTTCTGTCTCGCATGCCTTCTTGATGGTGTCTACGTCGTTGGTCTTCGCCGTTGCGACAGTTTCCAGTGAGGGGCAGTCCGCATCCGCGATGACTTCCCAATCTGTCTTACCATCCTCTGTGGCCAGCGGATGGAAGCCCTGAGCCATTGGCTTCACGATCTCACCTGGCTTCGTACGAATGAGCAATTTGCGACCATCAAGGTGCGTAAGCTCAATCTGGAAACCGCACAAGGCCTCCACCAGAGAGATAGAACGCTCCACGTAGAGGTCTGCACCCTTCCGCTTGAATTGAGGATGCTCCTGCTGCTTCAACACGAAGATGACATCCCCAGTGTCTGCCTCTGGGTGCTCGTCTGCCATCTCCCTGAAGACAACCTTGTGGCCATCAGGAGCACCTTTCTGCACATGCACCTCCAAAACCTCCCTGTCCTGAGTGGTGGAGAAGCTTTTGCCCTGTCCGCCACAGGATTTGCACGAAGACTGCATCTGCTGGATCATGGGCCCCATGCGAACCTGAAGTCCATTATGTTGGACATCCATTCAAAAAGAGGCCCTCTATTGTGTGTCCCGCCCCGGCCGCTTCAAGCGTTCCAGGCCAATCATAGAATGCCCTCTTCACAGTGTTTTGGTTTTGTGGTCTTAGCAGCAGCCAAACCATCCCTTTTTAGTCAGCCTTCAAAGCCCTCAGAACCATCGAACACTTATGACTTACAGAACGACCCTATAACTTCTAGTTCTCCGCCAACACAACAAGACCGCCAAGTTATGGATTAGCCTTCATCCACAAATGCCCCAGATATCACGCTTTATGTCTTACAAGCTCAAGGAGCCGTCTCGACCTTTACACCACGTCCACTGCACTCGCGACACTCCTGGACGCCCCGCTTTTTGTCGATGACCTTGCGGGTGATGGCCATCTTCTTAGTGCTGCCCATGTACATCTGCTCCAGGGTGACCTGTGGACAGGTGAGAAGCCTCCCTTGACATGTATTGGCATCCTACTACACTATCGATCCCTTTGAACAAATCCACCTGAAGGTTCTGGACGACGTCCTTGGTCTTCTGGCGCTTGCGGCCTCCGTTGCTGCTCCTGGGCCCGAAGAAAGCATCGAAGATGTCCGTGGGCTCACTTGGATCGCTCTGAAGACCCTCCTCGCCATAGCGGTCGTACCGAGCGCGTTTTTCAGAGTCACCGAGCACCTCATAGGCCCGCGTGATCTCTTTGAACTTCTCCGGGTCGCCACCTTTGTCAGGGTGGTGCTTGACGGCAAGCCTTCTGTAGGCCCTCTTGATGTCTGCTTCGCTGGCGCCTTTCTCGACCTCAAGAAGCTTGTAGAACTTGGTTGTGTCGACGTTCTTGGACCCACCTGCATCGCCACCCTTTCCTCCCATGCCAGGGAAGTCACCACCTGGGAAACCACCGAAGAACATGCTTGCTAGAAGCCGGCGGAAGATGCTCGCTGCGTCCTACTCCGCTATCCAGCCACCAACAATCGCGGGCAGGGCTGGGTTGACAAACACGTCTGCTCCTAGGGTTGACGCCAACTGCTCCCTTCGATAAATATGCACTACACTCACATGACAGTGCTGCTCACAGGTACTGAACATGCTCATGTACTCAGAGTGCTCCCTTAGTCCTTAGTATTACCTGCACATTTGCCAGCATCTCAAAGGACCAGAAACAGACTGCTGGAGTATGTCGATGTCTGACTAGGAAGGAATGCCGACCAGAATACAGGGATTCTGGTCTTCGTTGATAACTTCATAAGCTTAACACCAGGGCATGGCGAGATCTGCCAGCAGGCCAAGAACTGAGTTCCCTGAAGCTGTGATGCCCAGGAAACCCTAAGCAACTTCGTAACTCCTTGAACCCAAACCCTTAACCCTATCCAAGCCTTCTGACACCGAAGGTGCTTGTAGGTTCATGGGTGATAGGGTTTAGGGTTTAGGGTAGGCTTCAGGGCAACAGGAATTGGAACCATCTTCGGGTCACCCAGGACTATCTAGCATCTCTCTGAAAAATGAAGCTCTTCATGACCCCTTGGCAACGCATGGTCTACATGGAAGATGTACATAGCACCTTGCAGCTTCGTTTGATACTCAAACTTGTGCACAAACGCAAGAGGGCGCATAACGTCGCATACGAATGCAAAATGCTGCATACAGCTTCAAAACAGCCTGCAGCACGCCAAGCGATGGCAAATATTTTGCAACGAATGAATTCCACCGCAAAAAGTGTATCAAGGGAAGGTCCAGCACTGCTGGCTAGCCATGACTTCATGGATATCCTATCCCCCCGCCCTTTACTATCCCCCCCCCAAAATACACCCTTTAAGTGTATACAGGATTAAAGCCAACTTTGGGGTGGTGGGGTAACCCATGAATCTCCAGGTGCATTTGGGGGGCATGCTCCCGGCCTGCAGAGATTTCTGGGGGCAGCTCTGGTAGCTGAAGGTCTCCTTCTATTCACTGAGAGGAGCTTGGGGCTCAGGGCTTGTTTGGGTTTTAGGCTTTCTGTTCCGTGTAGGCTTCATGGGCGTGGGGCAAGTTGAAGCTTCATAACAGTTTGAGAGTAGGAATGCATCTAAAGGTTTTTTGCAATTCAGAACCATCTTGGAGAAAGCACTCCTTCTCTTGTGACGTTGGCGGACTCGAGTCGGTCTGGAGTGTAAGCTCACAAGCTAAGCTTGGCGCGGAGCAGCCCAAGACTTTTCTGTGCGCGGAATCTGAAGGTTGCGGATTCACAGTCGAGGAATTGAAATTCAGTTCAGGTCGTTCGCAGTAAAATTCTTATACTGCCTGTTGTGAGCAACACGCGCAATGAGGTTTGAGAAGTCACAGTCCAACCTTCCTGGACAAGCCTGCAAGGGCCGCGATCCAGAAACGTTACAATTTTGCGTACGGATCCCTCACACAACCTACCCACAAGAAGATACCTGAAGCTCCTGTGTTCCTTTTGGAACATGAAACCCCCGGACATTCGCCCTCCAACGCTTTCTCGACTAGGCTTCCTGCGCAACGAAACCCCCATTTGTCGAAAGCTGTCGCCCCGGCCATGCCCTAAGCACGCAAACAGACTGAAGCCTTTGGAAACTCAACCCGAAAGCCTAACACCTCCAAAAGGCGAGCCCTGTGATGCCGTGCCTTGTCTCTCGAGCTTAAGCCCACTGAAGTCCCAAATCAAAGCCGTCTCCAGTTGGGTCTGGATCTCGGAATTTGGCTTGCTAAAGCCCATGCTCTTACTTGAAGAACAGGGTCTGAATCTGGCAGACCTTGTTGGCCCTTTTGGGATGTATGCACGGTATATGATGCATAATCAGATTACAGTGAGCTTGGGTTTCGATGTCGTGGTAAAGACCATCTGTGCGGAGTGGCGCCCTGAACCTTCCCAACGTCGGGAGCCGCAGCGTTGCAGGCAACACCATTGATAATTTTTACCATGGACGGAGACGACTTTCTAAATGTTCATCGAGCTGGATATAGCGCTGCAAGGAAATCAAGGAACTCTTGCAGGATGACATGTTAATCACTTGTTTTCTGTTCTTGCCAGATTGGAACTTGGAAGTGGCAAACATCAAGTGCAGTGACCCCTGATGGCTGCATGGCTGCCTTCCTGGCTTCAACAACTTGGGACAGTAGCAACCCTTAACTTACCTGTGGGTAGTAGGCCATAAAGGAAGATAACACTGTATAATCCCTATGTATAATGTATTCTCTTAATTCCCTACTAACCCGCACTAAGGCAAAGGTATCCTTCCGCTACTGCTCACTTGGGGCTGCTGTGGTGTGATCCTGGTGCAAATTTGCAGATAACAGGACCTTGCAGCCGGAATCAATCGGAACGTTGAGTGGTATCAACCTGGTGACCACGAAATCATACCAGGTCTTCCACAAGCTCAGGTCCGAACGACATGGGAATGCACGGCCATCACCTTACTTGTTGCCATTTGTTCAGTTTTCCACCCACATCTTCATTTCTGCCCTCTAGTTGAAAGCTTATTTCTGCATCATGAGGTCTGCGATTCATTTGGAAAGCGGGGCTGTGTGTATAAGTAGAGGAGCTATGAACAAATAGGACCAGGCAATGCTACATCCAATATAGAAATGAAACATGCGTTTCTGAGCAGCTGAATGAGAAGCTTTTCTAGCTGGACTCATGACGTACAGGCACTTAAGTACTGCTTCAGATCCTCTCACTAGGGCTTGGACACATCCAAGCAGATTGCTTCATAGTTCTCTCGCTATAATACTCTCATCATGCGGTCTCATGAGTCGTATAACGAAAAGTGTAACATCCGAGTATCATCCTTACGTGGTAATTAATTTCCAGAACTTGCTGAAAGCCTTACAGCCTTACAAGTCTACACGAGTGTTGGGATTCCTCACCCATCCGTCGACCCTGAATCCTGGACCCTTGGGCCAAATTTTGGAACCAAAACTCCTGGAAAGCGTGCGTGCTTCTAAACAGCCACACCCCCTCTTGCGGGAACAGTGGGGCTATCTTCCGAAGTATAGCAGGCATCCTTAAACCCTAAACCCCAATATCCCTAAACCCTATAAACCCTATATACCCCTATTACCCATATGTCACCCCTACTCTTTGACCCCCATATAACCCTATTTCAGAATCCACTTCTCTGAGGTGAAACCTGGGGCCTCAACACGAGACCCCTCCGCCAACCGCTGATGCCACGCATGGCAGCTGTAGAAGCCTGGCTTTGGTTTAAGGGTTTATATCATCCCTATATAACCCCTATGTAACCCCTATATGACCTCTATATAACCCCTTTCTAGCCCCTATATAGCCCCTATGTAACCTCTATATAACCTCTATATAACCACTATAAAGCCTCTATAGCTCCCTTTTAAACGTACCCTTAGGGTTTAGGGTTTGCGGCTGGGGGCGCTGAGGTGCCAGTTTTCCAGTTGCATATAGGTTATGTAGGGCTTCTAAGCGGCAACCTTTGCAACACCGCTTGTAGGTTCGAGGCTAGTTTAAACATACGGTTAGGCGTACCCCGAGACCTCACTTCCCTGAAGGATTTTGTGCTCAGAGCTGCCCATGACTCTCCAATGGATGTCATTGCCAGTTGGGATCAGGAGTTGGGATGTAGGGCTAACATGACAGTGGCATAGTTGAAGATCAATAGCAAATTTCTGGATTAGCGAGTCCCTGTGACATGGGATTCAATACGTTACTGTGCCACTACACTGGCATGTGGGCTGGAATGCGCCAAAGCTTCTACAAGAGAAGGGCCATGCTTTGTTTTGGCATCCATCCCACGCCCGACAGTGTTCCGAAATTATGAAGCAGTTTCTGAAGCCACTACAAACTTTCACCCTCCTGCTGTTGCTGCGCCGTAGGAACTTAAGGGGGAGCCTATGTCGATGCAGGCAGAGATCTACACGTATTCTAGGGATGATGCTCTTCCCCCCAAACAGAAACCCTACACCATCCTACACCCTATATAACCCATTATGGTAGTTTCCATTTTCTTTTCCATTATCCCTATATAAACCCTATATACCCCTATATACCCCCTATATTGACCTGCAACAGATGCCCTGCAGGCAGCCCGGAGGATAGAGAAGCCTCGACATCTTGGGTCGGCTTTCGCGGCCTGAGGCCTGGCAAAACATGGTCTCAGGTCGGGTTTAGGGTGTTTTATTACTATATTATTACTATATTGTTACCATATTACGGGGTCAAGCATCTATATATAGGGGTGATGTAGGGATTATATTGGGGTTATACTGGTTTGGCCGTAGACTACTTTTGAAGATTCCTGGGCTGACAAGTATGCATACTGAGGGGTGGAGGAATATGAGGATCAATGATGACGGAGCATCTTAGCTTCAGTACAGTTCAGTAAATGGCTGGTAGGGAAGAAGGAAGGTTGTGACTGCTCATTGTTTGCATCTTTCGGCTCAGGGAGCTTTTGACCCTGTCTAGGCAATGGTTGGGGCCAAGGGTCGACGAGTAGCCAAACAGCCCAGCTTGTTCCCTGGCCTACTCCGCTATGAAAGAGTCCCACAGAATGACCCTCCTGTTCCAGCGCAGCCTTCCGGAATTGCGATGACATGTGACATTCCCACTCAATCACCCGCTAAAAACTGAACTCTTGAACATCCAGCTACCAACAATAGACACATTTGCACCCTACCCGTGGTGGTAGTGCTGACAAACCCACGAAGCATCCGCCCCCTTCAAGCAAGTTGCAACTGCATGCACGCTGCCGCAGCCATCTTTGAAAGCAGCTGGGTTGCCGCAAGAACGGCATTCCTGGGCAGTGCTATTGCTGTCCTGTGGCCTCTGCTAGACTGAATACTGTAGACCTTCAGTCCTGCAACGTCAATAACGTCCTTTTCAAGCCTAAGCTGAATACTCAAGCCGCTCGCCATTTGGAGATGATCACTGTGAAGTGACGATAATCGTGCCTTCTCTGGCTCATCTTGGCTGGGTCCTACACTTGCCTAATGCTTTGTGGGACTGCCTCATTCCATTGATTTACAAGCACATTCCGCCGCAGCTCGCAACACAGAGCCGCTGGCTAGTTTTGTGCAATAGACTACTGCCTGAAGATGCTGAAGCCCCTTCAGCTGATGAGCGATAGCTTGATACGGTTAGCACAGGACAGGCAGCAGGTCCTCAAGGGGTTCTGCGTTTTGAGAGTTTCGGGGCAGTGCAGGGGAGGTGGATCAGAAACTCTGAACAGGCTCAGAACTTGAAGGCATTTCCTTCTCCTGTTAAAACCATCTCTGCTAAGTCAGACTTGTTTGACCAACTGTCACCTTTCCGCGCAGGTTTCCTTTTGTACATGACAGGCGGTAAAGTTTCTACACTGGGCTGTGCTGGCACAACGCGGTACAGTTCTGCACACTGTCATGCGCCAGCACAGGGCGGGAAAGCTGCTAGAAGAATCGCCACCTGTGTGGCGCAAGAAGCAGCCAGATAGCCCGACGACAGTTTCTGTGGGTGCATGCTATGTTCTTGAGCAGCCAGCAGCCGTCACAGGCTTTTTTTGCCAATTGCTGCAAACCACGCAGAAGCCTAAACCTTACACTCTACATAGGCGCCAGCGCCTACAGACAGTACCAGCCTGGTCACTCTTTGGCACTCGGAGCGGTCGCCTGCCAACCCCTGCATCAAAAACTTAGGCAGAGTGCGTCCCCTGGCGAAATCGGCAGCAATCCAGCCCCTGCAGTTTGTCAGGTCCAACCTTGCACCTGCCGCGATCAAGCCAGCGGCGCCTTCGTATTGCGCGGAGAACACGGCGGCCATGAGCGGCGTCATGCCATTGAAGTGAAAAGCAAGTTCTGACAGCAAGGTGGGTTTGCCCAGCCGGTGCTGAGCTGACTTCATTCTGAAAATAAAGCCTAACGGGGATAGGCAACTCAGCCTCCACTGGAAGTCGACATCGGCACGGAGGGCGACAAGGCGGTGCACGCTCTCGGCGGTACCTCCACGAAACACCATGCCCAGGAACAACGCATAGGAGAGCGTGGGGGCATCAAATTCTGCATGGGCAAGGAGCTCCTCCCGGGCGGCTACCGCTCCAAAATAGCAGGCGATTGCCAGAGCCGGAGCGCCGAAGAGGGATCGGCCATGTGGATCTCCGCCAGCAGCACACAGCAGTCCAATTCCTTGGTTGTGGAGGGACCCGGCAAAAACATGTTCTGTTGGCATTTTTTTCGTATAGTCGACACGTGCTCCTTCTGCATTCAACTCAAACAAGCCAGGACTCCTTCATCGTTGTCCGAAACAGCTGCACTGTGCATGACTGGGCCGAGCAGACCTTTCAGTCGGGCGCCGGCTTGAATGAGCATGCGGGCTCCGTCGTTGTTCCCATAAATCACGGCAAGGTCCTTGGACAAAGGTATGTGGCTTTGGGGAAAATGCTGTTTGTTCATAGAAAGCATTTGGGAGAGATGATTTTCTGGGTGCTTGAGACAGATCCAAGGGTCCAGAGCTGACGTCCAGATCGCAACTCCTAGGTTGGGCTCATCCTTGGCGGTTCGCCGATTAGGTTCCGCACGCTGCTGCAGCAAGCCCGCAATCAGCTCCGAGTTCCCCCCAAGGGCGGCATAATGTAGGGCTGTCCATCCTGCCCCATCGACTTCCCGCACGGAACGCAGGCCGTTCTGGTGCAAGAACTTGGCAACCACGTACGCTTGCAGGTCGGGAGCATAGCTGGCGTCAAAGCCGGGCACGAGGTCCTCTACAGACTCAACCGCCAAGCCGCGAAAGTAGAAGGGCTGCAGATTGAGATGGCGACGGTAGGCTGGCAGGTCTTGCGCTTTGAGGCACGATAGCAACTTGCACCTCACCACACTTTGGAGGACGGGACCGAGCTTCTCGCGGTCGTCCTCCACTCCAAAAAATGCCTGTGCCTACGGGCCCCATCGGAAAGGACAATGATGCGCCAACAATTTCCAAGGAGGTGCCACTCTTCACCAAGATCCAAGCGTGATCTGCGGAGATCTCTCGCACGACTCTTTCCATGCGGCACCACCCGCGCTGCCCCCAGCTACTCGGCGACAGCACAGAGTCCTCGATGAATGGAACCAGGCCAAAAAAGAAATGGCATTTGGCAATATAGGCAGGAATACTCTGTATGGCCTTGCTCCGATTGTTGGGGCCACTCCCACGTGCGGAGTGCTCCAACTGCGGGCAGGAGAAGTAGTCGTACCATAAAAACAAGGGCTCTGACTGGAACGCTTTCAGGGAAATCGCTTTTGCAGAGAGGACAGCGGCTTCTGTAGACACATCCAGGGGCACAAGGCCTGTGTCTAGCAGCAGATGACGCAGGGCATCTTGCAAGACCTTCATTTGCTTCATGTCTGGGTCTGGGTGGTGTGCGGCGGCCCACTGGTGGGACACGAAACCAGCATTGCCTTTCGTGCCATCGAAGACGAAAAGCATTTCCGTTGCCTGCGGCTGACACACACACACACACACACGCACGCACGCACGCACGCACACACACACACACACACACACCCACACACAGACACAGACACAGACACAGACACATGGAGACATTGCTAAGACAAGACATGTTGGGACTTTGAGAAAATGCCAAGCGAAGGAGACAGGAGACAATTGATTTGCAGCTTGGTGCACTTTTTAGGGGTGCTGGTGGGGTCCTTGACATAAAGCGATGAGGCACCAGTACTCTTGCAAGCGGTCTTGAGGTGATAAGGGCAGCCACTGATGCTGCGGCTGCGGACCTGTTTGGGGCTGCCTTAAGCTGATGAGCCAGTGAAGTGCTTCTTGGGGTGTGGTGGTGAAATGGAACGCGTGCCAATGCCACTGATGCTGGGCCTTGAGTTGAACCGCGCAAGCGCTGGTGCTGCTGATGCGCTTGTTTGTGACTGCACGTGTGCCGGCTGTGAGGCACAAAGCATGCCTTATTTCTGGCTAAGTCTATAACGGGCGTTCACACCCTAAGGATTGCTAGGCCATTTTTGCGTTGAGTTTGGCTGACCGGGGTCTTTTCTGGGAAGGCCCCTCCGGACGAAACCAATTTCATCACACTACTTCGGAAAGTATGCGAATGAATGTCTTGGACATAATGCAAGAACTTGCTCTTTGTTCTTTGTATCCGGGTTGAGCTGGGAAATTCAAGCAAAAAGATCACGCCGCAAGTCAGAGAAGAGAGAAACCAAAGCGCAAAACAAGGTAGTTTGCATTTGGCTTGGTCAATCTGCTCGGTCATGCACCCTCACTCTCAGCTCTATACACACTAAACTAACCTCAATACCCCAATCTCAGAGTCTTGAGCTGCTCTGAAAGACCCTTGGCCTTCAGCTCCTCGTGAGGCTGAATTTTTGTCATCCTCAAGAGGAGTGCGGAGGCCACCGTGTACATCGGGAAGAGCATTGGCGCAGCCTGGCCGAACATATCGCTAAGCGCCGAAATCACCGTTTCCTATGTGGAGACATGAAACGCAGGAAGGCGCATCATAGCAGGCACACCCGCAGCAATTACAGGAATTCGTGCAAGGAATCTGCCGTTAAATTATGATCTACAGACCGTTTAAGATGCCGCACCTCGTCATCCTCAACCGTGAGGCACGCCTGTAGGGATGATGCGTGACGCCTCAGCTCCCGTATAGCATTATAGGTTGCCTTCGGGTCTAGGACGCTTGTGGATTAAAAATTCGGGGCCCTTTTGGATGTTGGGCACCTTTGTATAAAGTTTATTGGGTTGGGCGAATTAGGGTTTGGAGTTTGCAGTGCGGGATTCACCAGGAGTAGGGTGAGGATGGAGAAGCAGGACACCGAAGCCCAGTGTGATTCCTCTGAAGATATGTGGTAAGTCCCATGGTCAACTTAGACCTTAAACTCGAATCCGAAAACTTCACGCGAGAGCAGGTGAGACAGAGAGAGAGAAAAGCAGAGAGAGACAGAGACAACCCTTAACATAACTATACCTAACTCTATTTATATGGACGTTTTTATTTTTCGCTTTCCACTATCGCCAGGGCACTCCAGCGGGGTGGGTGAGTCGGCGCGACGACGGCTGCAAGACATCGGAGCGGCGCGCAGGCTTGTGCTTGGAAGTTCATGGGAAGTTCTTTATGGTCTCTAAAAGGATCATGAAGGTGGATCTCTGACCGTGTTGCGCAAGTTCTGCGTAGTACTAACTGCTTCTCGGATTAGTTATTCCAACGACCCACGAACCTCCAAGTACCTGGGATTGGAGCCCAAAGGCTGCAGGAGTCAGCAAGGCTTGCAACTATAGTCCCCCATAAGTAGACAGTATATGGGGCATATGGGGATCTTATGATTATATACTCAAAGCCATATTCTATCTACTTAAGGGGGCCTACAGGCGTACAATTAACATCCACGTCAACTCAGCGTGTGCTTGCCTGGGGTCCCTAGCAATCACCGTGAAGAACAACTCCAAAACCTTGGGAAGGGGCTAAGAGAAAAGCTCTAGCCTGAAACCCCGGGAGGATTCCTATGGAACTGTTTGTTTCATGAACCCCTAAATCCTGACCCCAGAAGCCCCCCAAAAAGAGTTCCGCCCAACATAAACTCAAGGACGTTGTAATTCTTCTTATGGGGCTCCCAAGGCAGGATCCCTAATTTTGGAACCCCCCAAACCCCTGTATCCATATCATGCCCCTATTTAAACATATATATACATGTAACAATCACAATATTGATCTACATATACACGTACATCCCCAACCCTCATTACTCTCTAAACCCTCCTGAAGCCAGACGAAGTCTCTCTGTCGCTTCTCGCAGATTTCGGCTTCGGCTGCGGAACTGGAAGCGCTGAGGAAGCTTCAGCGCAAGGTCTCCTCAGACAGCTTACTGGGGGTTAGTGGGGAATGGGGGAATACATTATGTGGGGATTATAAAAGGACTACATTCCCACATTCCTTATTAGTCATCTGTAAGACAATGTGCGGATTTGAAGTGGCAAGTTAGTAAGTCCGGGCTTCTGCCGCCAGACCCAAACCCAAATCCCTTATCCTCCCCAGCCGCAATGTTTCAGAAGAGCAGCTGATGGTACTGACATGAAATCAAACTCACAGAAGATGGTGTGGTTTTCCTGAGCCCTCCTTTATGAAGTCTAAAGCCCCGTGATTCCTACACTCGCCTTGAAAAGTTTCGCAGGCTGAGCCCCAAACTTGAAAGCTTCAAGCCTCTGCTTGTTGGGAAGCAGGAGGGCCCTTAGGTCCTTGTTCCTGGGCCTCTGATGAACTTCGGTAGGCCGGGTTGAGAGCACGTTCAGGTCCACTTAGGGTCGCGTTCGGGATACGTCAGCTCAGAGAAATCTCCAGCTACAGTGCAAAAACGAGAGCCTCGCCGCCACCCAATCTATCCACTCCTGCATTGGATGGGTTGTGCGCAAAGCTTAGATGGTTAATGAACAGACAGGCAGGTGTCTAAAATGATGATCTTTGTCTGGTGGTCCTTGCAAAAGAAATCCTGTGTTACACCGTACCTAGCATCTGGTGCGGATGAGCAAGCATGAGCTTTCGTTATTTACTACTGCTAGCAGTACAACTCCTATACTAGTTACTGTGCTACTGCTAAGCTTAGCAAGCGTAAAATCTGAAAAGGGCCAGCCGTCAACGGGCCCTGATTCACATCCCGAAGTCCTTCAAGCATCCTCTTGTAATCCGTCCATACCGAACACCCCGTGCCCCAACGGCTATATGAACCATAAGGCTAACCCAAATTCGCTGGTGAACTGCCAGATGGGCATTGCAATCAAAATGCAGATGCCACCCTTAAACACCCCCCTGACTTCTGGGAAACTCGCGCACCCCTCTCTCGACTTTTGTGTTGATGACTGTTGATGCATGTTGGCTTCACCATCCTCATCCTTGCGTACGTTTAAATCGTTATCCCCATCGCCTGAATATGCTCATTACATACTCCATATCATACTTGATTTAAATATTCGAGTCTTCTGCAGACAAATGCACCAGGAGTCGGAGCAATGACCGTACTTGCTGGCAGACGTAGAAGAAGCTTTCCTAGACTTGTGGCGCATTGAGTTGGAACAGGTTGGGAAGGGGGGATGGGGCAGAATGGGGACCCGGCTAGGCCGCAGTGTCTTTGAAAACGCGTGTCAACCGGCCGTAAATGCTCATCTTTTCAAAGTCCATGAGGGGCTTGGACAGCGGCGCAGTACGTATACAGCGACTCATAGTCATCTTTTGTCAATTTCACAGCCATCTGCAAATGGGGCCTGATGGTTCGGGTTTCAGCGCACAGTGCCATTAAGATTCAAGGTCTGAGACAAAAAATACCATAGTTCAGGCCGGCTAGCTTAGCACAAACAGCACAGGCGGCAATTACCTTCCACAAAGACTGACGCCGCCAAGAACTTAAATAGATAATCAGCTCAGGGTATCTTGATACAAACAGCCCAATGCCACGATTTAAGTCGAGTTGGAAAGCCTGACGTCAGTCGACTACACCCCGCCAGCAGCTCTACCAAAGGGTAGTTAGAACTACTCTGAACTTTACTTCAACCAGGGTGGGTTGGTTAGCGTCCGAGCGAGAGTGAAAGTGGCCAGATCTTCAAGACCAAGCCTTACAGCCTTATGCCCTATGCCCTAACCCCTACTCAGCCAGCCAAAAGTCCCAATGACTTGCCTGATGGAGGCAAAGATTGCCCAAATTTTCAGCAAGAACCACCAGCTGGAGGTTTGCGCCTTTCAGCAAGGAAAAGCCAACCGGATAACCCGGACGGAAGATATGTTTCGAGCAGCGATGGTTTCGGGGATTTGTTTATGGGGTTTCTGGAATTGTCTAGCACCAGAAACCAGAAGTGTTTGTGCCGAAGATCCATGGGACAAAAAGTGGTATCAAGTTGTTTTCTCGACAGTACCTTACTGACCTTTCTTCTGAATTTTGAGCACTAACAATCGGGCTAGATGCCAATGGTTTCTTCAGAGCTGCCCGATGAAAATGCAGCCCTAAGCAAACCATCAGCCAAAAAAAACCTACCACGCCAGCCAAATCACGCTGAGGCAAAAGAATGAAGAAAACAATCAAGTCCTTGCTTGTAGAAAGCCAGATGCCAGGTCGCCAGGCAAGGATGGATGGCACAACAAAACCACACGAGCCTCCCTAAGAGAACCCGACGGAAGTGATAGATACTCCCATTACTAAACCCGCTTACCTTCCTCCATTCCATTCTCAAGTTGTAAGCTTACATTTTGCTCAGAGGCGCGTGTTGTTGCTTTTCCTCTGAATTCATCATCCTTTTCGTTGCTGCAACCCAAATTGCCGTCTCAAAAGGTGGCTGCTATCGGCGTTGCTCTTGCTACCGATCTGGTTCCATCATAAACC